TTCCTTGGTGTTCTTTCCCATCATGAGAGAAACCTTTTGTGGTGGACATGAGGGGCATCAGGGTCGATCATGTCAGGAACCTCTGGGAAACTTTACAACTGGAGCTGCCATGACACAGAGCTCTGGAACCATAGCGGGTTCTGGGGCAGTAGCAGCAGCAGGAACATTCAGGCCCGGGACCTTCAGCTCTGGGACCAGGGTGGCTCTGATAAAGAACCCTGTCGAGTGACATCTGTGGTGCCTGTGACTCTGACCTCTCTGACCTCAGCAGGTCCTGGAGCAGCAGCGTTTAGGGCAGCATTCACATTGATTTCTGGAGCCGCCCTGATTTCTTTGGGACCTGGTCGCCCGTGGAAGGAACCTTTGGAGCTCCAGTGTGAGGGACCTCTGGGACCAGCGAAGGGCATCTTGGGACTTTTGAATCAGGAACCTCTGTGGAGCCTCAGCAGCTTCTGTAGCAGCAGTGACAGGAACCTTTATCACGACCTTCACAGGGATTTCCTGATCAAAGGCGGCTGCATAAAAGAGCTCTGTGTCCATGACTGAAACCCTTACCGAGAACTAGTCATGGGAGAGCATCTCCTCCAGATGAACTCTCTGCTCCGGGTCGCTCTTCAAGCAACTGCGAATAAAACGGCAGCATTCTGTGCAGAAAAATTAGAGAAATATCTGATTATTTCCTTCAAATTCACACCTGCTCTCTAAACTGTGAGAGATACCTGCATTATCCATAAGGCCATTTATAAAGCCGCTTTTTTTCTCTGTTTCGCATGATTAAGATTAATACTTGCAATTGTTCTTCTTTGTTGTAATGAATTTCTTACCATCTGAGAAGCCCGGCTCGATCCAGACATCAGCGTCCATTAATTTTATATCGCTGCTGTATGGATAACAGCTGGTGATCATGCTAAACAGCAGCACTCCCAGAGACCACACTGCTTCCCGTCCAGCAGCTCTATGATGTGGCGACAGCGGGGGCCTTGACTGGCCATGACTGTCAGAGCCACCTCTAGAGGAACCGGACTGGGACGGTCAGGCTAGAAGAAAGACTGATTTTTATGATGGTCAGATGGAAGTGGTTTCTCAAATAAGGATTTAGCTCAGTCTGTTTGTCTATTGAAATATCTGTACTCTGTGTTTTACATGAATCTAAGATGTTATAAATTGCTAACAGTGACTGAGAGGAGATGACACAGAGAGCACAGTCTACTTACAAGGCTGAGGTACGACTCGTTTTCTGTCTTGAATTTCACAGCCACCTGAAGGCCGTCCTCACAGCGGGTCCCTTCAAAGACGGAGCCGCATCCTCCTTCCCCCAACTTCTTACCAAAGGTATATGTCCAGGAAATGTAGTCTATTAAAATATAATTATAGTTTTTTTATTATTATTATTTAATAAAGCGGTGTCCTGCGGTATGTCACTACATACTTTTTTCTAAAACTATGGTTTCTAATTGTTTCTAATTCTCATATAATTATTATACTTCTATATTTTTTTCACCTGTTTTATTTATAACTCTTTCTGTATAATATAATAATAATGTATAATATTATTGTATACTTATATTATTTTTTGTTATTATTATTATGTGATACACGACAACTGTAGACACTCAATAAAACACTTGTGTGATCTTGACTTTAAAAATTCATTCGCTGGTTTTCGCCAGATAATTCAGACTTAATGTTTCTAACAATCTTTAAGTATGTGATCATATTTCCCTATTGCTTATTCTTTATTTCTGTTTTTTTTTTGTTGACATTATTATATTAATATAGGCCTAAGTATATTATTTTCTTAATAAGTCCTATTTTCATAAGTATGATAAAGTTTACATTTTTCAAATGGGCAGATCATGCTGATCTGAATAAATCATGCTAATATTTGCCCAAGGCTATGGGTTGGCTATGATAGCATTTTTTTGTCCATATATGCAATCTTTATACAGCAGCTAAAAAAAGTATTTGGACAAATACACATTTCATATCATAACACAGAGTGTCGGAAATACATCGTCTACTAACCCTTCTGACTGAGCCATTTTGTCATTAACCATCTGGTGCCAAAGTGATTTTTAGTGGATGTATGAAGTCTGTTATTGTCGTCCCTGTTGAAAAAACCAGCATATGCTGGTTAGGTATGTTTTGACGCTCGGATGCTGGTTTAAGCTGGTCCTTTGCTGGTTTATGCTGGTCATGTGCTGGTTTAAGCTGGTCCGTTGCTGGTTTATGCTGGTCATGTGCTGGCAAAGGACCAGCATAAACCAGCAAAAGGACCAGCATAAACCAGCTTAAACCAGCATTAAAACATACCTAACCAGCATATGCTGGTTTTTTCAACAGGGGTGGAAATCTACTGATGTAAAAGAGGTGAGAGAGAGTGACTCATTTATTTTACTTAAAGCAAGTAGTGAAGTAGTGTAGAGTACTTAAAGCAGCAACGAGCATGCTGACTTAATAACAAGGGAAATACACTTCTAATACAGAGAGGCAAGGCGTTTTCAAATATATAAACTGCACCGTGTTTGCGAGTTTTGTCATTGTGAGTATCTAATGATCCAGTAGATGGCGCTACTCTGACATAGTTTACAATCGCTAGCACTCATTTCTCAATACAGGTCACGTTTTCACCATTTCTCCTAACTTTCAGCTGGGCACAGAAGATAATTTCACGTTCAGAACGCACTAAAACTACCAAAACACTTCATACAAATCTCAAATCAAGTCATTCTTCCATAACACTAGCAAAGCTTGTCTCCCAACATAAAATATAATGACCTAATACCAAACAACAGGTAGCATTACACAGTGTTTTCTTTTGCAAAATGTCTTTACAAAACAAGAATGAGACCACTCTACTGATGAGAATTCACTTAAGTATATGTTACTTGGTCCATGTTTACATTGCAGTATTCCTAAGTTTCGCCTTTTGTGTAGATGGCAATGAAATTGATTATAGCCTAGGTGTTCAGCTACATCTATGATAGTATTTCATGTATTAGGTTTAGAATGTATTTCAGTGGGGTTTTACTGTAGAAATATTGCATATTACTCTCTTATTCAGTTTTGAATGATGCAGTTTGAGAATGAGAACATGCAAACTGGCCTGTAGGTAGGTACATGTTTTGGCCGTGCTTGAAAAATTCCACTGTGTGAAGTTCTGAAAAAGTGACGTAAGTGTTGAGAAATGGGTCCTAGCAAAAACAGAAACAAAAAAAACCTGATTGTGAGAGCAGCCTCTTGTTTTAGACAGTTGTATGTTTTTAATTCATACATATATATAGTTTATAGAATGCTATTCTTTGGCTTAGTGTAATATTTTCTTTTTAATTTCCTTCAAATTTAGGCCTATACGTATACATATGTAGGCTATTACAGGTGGCATGACGAATACAGTTGTAACCTCTGAGCACTTTACACATATATAATTGTTAGTAGAGAGATGATAAAATACATAATATCACCTGTTCTTGTATTCATTTCTCATTCAATGGTCAGTAAAATCAGTGCTCATCATGAGATTCTGGACATTAGAACAAGCTGTCTTTGCCTATATATTTTGTACTAGTGATCTCTATCCACACCTTCTTCCTTAAACAAATCTCTCTTCACTTGCATAGCCATAACCTGTTTCCTACATTCACCTTCCCTGCACTTTTCTCCACTCGGTCCAATGTCGCTTCTCAGGTTACTGTCTGTACAGTATTATGGCTTCATTTTAGCTATACCGAAACAGGAATATAATAAGAAAGGTTTGTTAATGCTTACTAATGTTTAGCACCCTAAACATTTCACTATAGCGCAGACTCAACAGGATAGCATGTGTAAAAGGGAGAATAAAAATGAGAATTTATGAATCAAATAAACAGATTTTCCCCCAATATCACCTTGTAGGTATTATAATTTGCCACCTTATTAAACAAGTGTAACATTAAAAGGATAGTTCACCCAAAAATGAAAATTTGATGTTTATCTGCTTACCCCCAGGGCATCCAAGATGTAGGTGACTTTTTCAGTAGAACACAAACGAAGATTTTTAACTCAAACCATTGCAGTCTGTCAGTCATATAATGGAAGTGGATAGCAATCACGGCTTTGAGAGTCAAAAAAACATACACAAACAAAACCAAATTAAACTCTGCGGCTCGTGACGATACATTGATGTGTAAAGACACGAAACGATCGGTCTGTGCAAGAAACTGAACAGTATTTATATAATTTTTTACCTCTGAATCACTCGGTAATGCACTGCGAAGTCTGCGATCCACCGTAAAGCAAGAAGAAGAAGACGACGTGTCACGCACCGGCTGAAGAAGAAGACGCGAACGCGCTCAGGACAGTTTGAACAGTTCGGACATTGCAGTGGCCCTGGGTGTAAGCAGATAAACATCAAATTTTCATTTTTGGGTGAACTATCCCCTTTAATAAGTGTAAAGAACATTAGTCAACAACATTTAAAATACATTGTTTTATTAAAGGAATAATTCACCCAAAAGTGAAAATTTACTCAACCTAAGGCCACTTCTCACAAACACAGCTTTCTGACGGCACCCATTCACTGCAGAGGATCCACTGGTGAACAAGTGATGCAATGCAAAATTTCTCCAAATCTGTTCTGAACCATTCCTAATAATGTATAAGCATTATTGTTCATTCAAATGAGTCGAAATGTCAAAACATTAAGTGAATGAACATGAACTAATAATCTGTTAAATAATGTTTGTATTTTTATCGTCTCGGCACATGTTGGGTTTTACATAGATTAAAAAATACTGGATGGTTTAATGTTATCTTTTGCTCACACTTTATGCTTTTAGAATGACAATTATATGCATTAAATACTACCTGGATCAAATATTTGATAATAAACCATACTACAATCCTGAAGAAACATAAGTGAATGAAAAATGAATATAAAGGAAGGAAATCGGACATCTGTGTCAGTGGCTGGATCAAATAAACATGACTCCATTTTATTATTTTTCTTGATTTATTTTTATTTTTTATGTACAAGTCACAAAACTGTGCACGTAAATACAAAAATACATAAAACATACAAGAGTGAGATAAATAAATACAAAGACACCTTCAGCTCCATTCATGATAACTGTGTTACTAACTTTCAAGGCTATAACAGAACATAGCAAAGTTACTTAATAAAGAGCAGTGACGGTCTCCACACAGTCCTAAATAAAAACACTAAATAAAGCTTTGATGGCGGCTCATCATTTTCAAATTTTTGGAATGTTTTTTTCTTTTTGTATGCAAAACCTGTTAGGATTGTTTTCCTCAGTTTGAAGCATTCTGAACTCTGACCTGTGACAGTCTGTCTGAACAAATGTAAATGTCTTTTGTTGCAAACCAAATTACAAATGCAACGTATTACCCATAAGCCCCAGTCTACTGTGCATCCGTCTGCTTTACGACGTCAAAAAACATAAATGACACCGGGCTGATTAAGCAAAGTTTTGTTCATGTGTATGTAAAATATAGAGGAGAATTATGAAGTCCATTTGCCAGCTGGGCTTTTCACTGAACAATCTGGGGCATTTCACTCCATGCTTTGGCCTTCTTCTTAGCGAGAGCCAGCCAGGGAGGCTCATCTTGGGCCAAAGGTGCAGCGGACGGGTTAGCGCTTCTCTTACTTTCCTTCTCTAACGTGGATGTGTTGTTCAGTTCAAGGGAGCAGAACACTGTTCATTCAAAACCAATGGAAAACAGCTTATATTTTCATCTTCATTTATAGTTTATTCCTTTAGTTTATTACATAATACATTTATGCAATTAAATAGATCTGACACACACACTGCCGGCCAAAATTAAAAAATGCTCCCCAAGGCTGCATTTATTTGATCAAAAATACAGTAGGAACAGTAATATTGTGAAATATTATTACAATTTAAAATAACTGCTTTCTATTTTAACGAATTTTACAATTTAATTTATTGCTGTGATCAAAGCTGAATGTTCAGCATCATTACTCCAGTCTTCCGTGTCACATGATCCTTCAGAAATCATTCTGATATGCTGAATGAACAAGAAATATTTCTTATTATTACCAATGTTAAAGCCAGTTGTGCTGCCTAATATTTTTGTGGAAGCATTGATACACTACTATTCAAAGGTTTGGGGAAAGTCCAATAAAAAAAGAAGAAATTAATACTTTCATTCAGAAAGGATGCATTACATTTCTGGCAAACTTTTGGCTGGCAGTGTGAAAGTAAGAAAAAGTACTGTATGATTGTAGTATTTATATTGAATTATATAGAAAATGTATACAGTTACAATACATATCCGCTAGGGGGCAGACATTGATTTCCTTTTCAATCTGCGCTTAAAGGGATACTCCACCCCAAAATGAAAATTTTGTCATTAATAGGGTTGGATATCGTTTGAATCTTATCGATTCCGATTCTGCTTATCGATTCCGATTCTTATCAATTCCTAGTTTCGATTCCAATAAGATAAAAATCCAATATAAAAAAAATTAAGTCAAACATTTAGATGTCAGACATTTTATTCTGTCTTTTTTACAAAGCATTCTGTTGCAGCTGAATAACACGAGCAAAAATCAGCAGCCTACAGAACACTGCAAGAGGAATTTTGCCTATGCTTTAAAAAAAAAATACCACAGCAAAAACTACTAGATTAATATAAATTTCAAATATTAAAGTATTAAAGACAAGTAAACAGTGAGTAATAAGATAGGAACAAACAAATCAATTAGCAATATCATAAATAAATACAACTGAACAAAATTTCAGGTACAGAAACTGTAATTAAAAGTTTTAAAACACTGCATTGTTTTCTTTTCATAAATAAAATATAGATTAATCAATTAAAGTTATTAAATGTATTCAGTCAAGATCAGTGAATGATTTTCTTTTGTTCTTTGATTAACATTACAGGCAGGCAGCGCGTTTATTAGGCTGCTGTCTCTTTAACACCGAACGCACGCAGATCTAAAAATAATGTGTGTTTTCTTTCTCATCTGTTTACGTTCACGTTAGACAAAAACGGCTGTGTTTATGATGATATACTGACGTAGTTTTCTGCATATTGGTCGACAAATATGAAAGAAGTCAGTTTTGGCCCGGAACAACCTTTTTGTACAGTGGAAATACACGGAACGGTTCGAGAACGGACACAAACCGGTAACAACACGCAACAGCTACGGACATTAATTATGTTCCTTCAGATTTGAGTTTAAAGGGATACTCCAGCCCAAAATGAAAATGTTGTCATTAATCTCTTACCCCCATGTCGTTCCAAACCCGTAAAAGCTTCGTTCGTCTTCGGAACACAATTTAAGATATTTTGGATGAAAACCGGGAGGCTTGTGACTGTCCCATAGACTGCCAAGTAACTTACACTGTCAAGGTCCAGAAAAGTATGAAAGACATCGTCAGAATAGTCCATCTGCCATCAGTGGTTCAACCATAACGTTACGAAGCGATGAGAATACTTTTTGTACGCGAAGAAAACTAAAATAATGACTTTATTCAACAATGAAGACAGTCTCCTCTGTCTCTCCGCATCACCATAGCGCCACTTTGGAGAATATCCGCTGAACGCAAGCAGCGTACGCTCTTCTGTGTCAGCTGCGCTGCACGGATGTGCTGTTTTCATTCAAATCACAGCGTAAATACACGTAGAAAACGTATCCTTGTGGCGCGGCTGACACAGAAGAGCGTAAGCTGCTGCGGACAGACATAGAGGAGACGAATTGTTGAATAAATTCGTTATTTTTGTTTTCTTCGCGTACAAAAAGTATTCTCGTCGCTTCATAACGTTACGATTGAACCACTGATGGCAGATGGACTATTCTGACGATGTCTTTCATACTTTTCTGGACCTTGACAGTGTAAGTTACTTGGCAGTCAATGGGACAGTCACAAGCCTCCCGGTTTTCATCCAAAATATCTTAAATTGTGTTCCGAAGACGAACGAAGCTTTTACGGGTTTGGAACGACATGGGGGTAAGTGATTAATGACTAAATTTTCGTTTTGGGGTGGAGTATCCCTTTAAAACATAACCTTGTGCTATTAAGAGATTAAAACCGTATTTTCTGACTTTGCAGGTCATTGCACTTTTTAGATCAAACAGAACAAACCTAAATCCATAAAAGCTTTGCTATGTAAGGCCATGACAGTGAATGATCCTAATGGAAAGATTATTACCTTGTAAAGGTGAACATGGCTGTGTCAGTTGCTCTTTGGCGATTGGATTTGATAAAGTGTCCGGTGAATCCTGTCTTTTGACGTCCCCCTGAGAACAAGTGGACACATTTTAAAAATGAGGGAAAATAAACAATATTTGAGAGAAGAACACAAAAGATCCATGAAGGACTAAAGCATTTTTGTAGCATCGGCTAATACAAATTACCACAAAAAATGATTCAGCATCCTGAAATAAAACCTCACTTGGTTTAGTGTTCGTTTCATTTCACCTCATGGAATCTTTGCAGAACACTGCATTTTCCCCAAGCTGCAGCATGTAAGTAGGATACATGTGTGAATCTGATTGTCCTGTTGTTTCATGATGCTAAGACACAGTTTTCAGACACTTCCTTGAGAACCGGGCAAGATTTGACATGACATATTTGTTCAGTATATAAAGGAACAGCACAAACCTGCGAGGGAAGTTTCTCTGGAGAGTTTTCTGGCGAGTTCTCGATGAAGTTCCTCTGCTTCTGTCTGGCCACAGAGATCCAGCTTGGAGAATCGGTGCTACCAACAGATATTCTTACCCCTGTATCTGAAAAAGGACAAAAAATATGCATCATATTTTTATGATACTTTTTTTTTTGCAGACATAACACAGAATAAAAAACTATGCAAAACAATAATATAACTCACTTTTCAAGATCCAATCAAAAGCTGATCAATGAAATAAAGCCGTGCCATGTATTATTTACAGTATTCCTTCTAAATATTCTGTTTTGCTCTGTAATGTCACATTATGCAAGTTAAATGCACTGCAAATTCCATTTTAAGTTGTCATAATCACATAAATTGTGATTATTTAAATTTATGCCTACAAATAAATACCAAAAGAACACTAAACTGAATGCACTATTAAGCAGTATAAGTATTGCAATTGTCCTATTTTATATTGCAAAATATATAATTATTCAATAACAAATATTAATTAAATTGAATAATTATTATACTTAAACTAAATCTTAAATTATTAAAATAATTAGTATTTTGTCCTGTTTTACAGTAAAAATATTCTGACCATTCCCTACAAGATAAATTAACACCAGAAGCAAAATTATTATTTTTTTTAATGATAATTTTAATTAAATTTGTAATAAAATAATTTAACTTATAGTAATAGTATAGCATAATAAAAATTAACATAAGACTTTTTAAATGACTTTACATTTAACTTTAATTTAGTAAGGGAAATAAATAATAAATTATAAGAAAAAATATTTTATTTAATTTTGCAACTTTTTAAATATCTTTACTGGAAACCAAGACAAAATACTGATTACAAATTTTAAATATTTTTTACAAATGTATTTATTTGTTTGCATATGTATACACACAAAATCAGCTTTTTAAGAATGGAGGTAACCTGGGATTTTTCTGGCCGACATCACAGTGTCAACTAGCAGATCGGGCTTCTTTGGCGGGATGGGCTTCCTGCTACTCTGGTCATGGTCCAGGGTCTCCTGCGCCCCTGAAGACTCTGTTTGCGCGGGGGTCCAAGGCGATTCTCCATCTAAACCATAGCGGTGCAGGACTGGAGTCTTTCTCAAACGCACTCCAAACGGGGTCTCTAGGGTGGTCTCTTCTTGAGCATGGGGCGTCTCTTTCCTCACAGGAAGTGTTGGAGAACTCTGAGTTCGGGCTGCTTCTTTTACAGGAGTAATGAGTTCAGCTGTTTGGGGAGATTCATCAGAAGCATTAGTCTCTGGTGGCACCGGTGAGATGGTCTGGGACTGCTCTTGGGTGCCTCCAGAAGCCAATGACCTTTGCCACGCAGGGGTGATGGTGAACCGAGGTCGAACCTCAGCGATTCCCGTCAGTTCTCTTGTAGGCGACTCAAAAACTTGCTGATCTTGCTGCTCAGAAACAACCTCAAGTTTTTCTGAAGACACTTCCTGAGGCTCACCTGACACATCCAGCTTGTTGGGCTCAGGTTGCTCTTCTTGATCTACAGGAGACAACTGAGAATGGAGAACTGGACTCTCTAGCACAGGAGCCACAGTAGAAAGAAGGACCTCGACAGGCGTCTCTGGTGGAGCGTCAGAGGCTTCAGGCTCATCACTGGTCTCTGATGAGCTCCAGACATCATCTCTGACTGTCGGATCAGATTCAGGAATGTTCTCCACATTGACTGCAGATGATTCTCTTTGGTCACCTGAAGTCTCATCTTTCTCAGGCTCTAGAGAACCTGTCTGACCTCCGACCTCTTGACGTTCAACATCATTAGTAGAGTCCTCCCTTTTCTCAGGTTCCACCACCGGCAATTCATCATCTTCATCTCCAGCGTCTTTGGTTTCTGTCTCCATTTCAGCTTCATCCTCAACAGCATCTTCATCTTGCTCTGTCACATTAACTGCAAAAGCTTTTGGCGATTCTAATAACTCTTCGTCCTCTTCGGCACTTTCAGCCTTGTCTGCTTGTTTCTCGTCATCAGCTTCAGGCACTTGGTGACCTGCATCAGCAGACTCTGGCACCTCCAGCAGCTCCTCTTCCTCTGTGGTCTCCTCGGAGATCTCTTCTGAATCTACAGATGACTCTGAAAGCGAGTCTGGCAGAGGAACCTGCTCCTTTGTGGTCACCATAGGCTCTGAGGAATCGAGAAGATCTTTGTTGCCTTCCTCAAGACGAGAAACCACGCTCTCACCGTTTATGAATTCCACCTACAAAAAGGAAGCACAAATAGTTAAAATTAAATTAATTTGTACTGTAGATCAATGGCATAATGCCATTTCTAATGTATCAAAAATACAATTCATACATCAGTGACATAAACATACAATTTCTGAAATAATATTCATTCAATTTTCTTATTTTTGGGAGCATAGAGTTAAAAAAAAGAAGACGAAGATAAAAAAACCTTGCATGAAACAACTGCTTGAATAAAAATATTAAATTCTTATCTTAGTTTGACATATTCCTTTATTATTAAGAATATTATATTATTTTATTCAGAATATAATACTATATATTTAATAATACAAATAAATCAAAATCTATAATAAATAAACATTTAATAAAAGACATAAAATACTTTTTTTTTTTTACATTTCATTATATTTTAGTAAGAACTAAAAGGTTTTAGAAACGCAAATTAAAATATAATAAACATTTGAAAAATATTTGTTGGCCAAATTAAAGTGATGTATATAAATTATATATATATA